GGGTACACGTCACAGCCTACAGTGTCGATTGAATAGCGATATTATGAGGGTCATTTACGTACTTCACAATCTTGCCCGTCCAGGCAAATTAGCTTTGACAGTCGTCCGCTATGCTGACGTCCAGTATCACAGCAACGCCGTCATGAACAGCGATTACTTTGAGTTTGATGGACGAGTTCGTCGTTGATGGTCGTAGCTCCTCGAACACTGCGTAGTCCAGGTTGCGCAGCTTTTTCACCAGGTTCTTTGCCACGCGGTTCTACCGAACACAATGCACATCGTGGGTGATCCAGCACAATTGGAGAATCTGAGCGAAGCCTTTTGGTGGACCACAGTTACCACAATAGAGAACTGAGTGGTCTTCTCGGTCACCTCGAGAATCCCGGACCTTAGTTCACAGAAGACCACATCGGAGTTGGATGGCGCGAATTAAGATCCTAGGAAAAATGGGGTTTGAGTTCAACAACCAACGATTGGTGAGTGAGACACTTCCTGGAAACCACGGCCGTCCAGGAAGTGATAAAACTTATTCATCCACGCCGCATGTTGTCGCCAACACAACCTGAACGCGTGCCGGGACATTGACGTTCCTCACAATGGGACCAAACGATTCATCTTTGACCATGTTCCTCAGAACGGGACATTGACAGAAGAGCAGTGTCTCCATTGGTGATTTGCGCGAGATGGGAATAATGGTGAACGAACTTTGAATGCTCAGACCACTCAGGCGAATCTGGATGTGGATGTAGCTGGTTGGTGTGTCTGGGGAGGTGAAGCCTCTGCCGATCAAACTGACAGGTTGTACAGTCCATAGCTTTGGACATTTTTCGGTGGGCTCGGCTCAAGACTAACGAGTGATTCACCTTGGGGATTAGATGCTGTCTTAGAAGACAGAGGCGCCGATACGGCTTCAGGAACGCTTTGCTTACTTCATCCAGCATCGTACGAAGCTGCAGTCGGTGATTAATGAATGCCCCACCTTTCCAGGTGAACAGGATTTCGAGATAGGTCACCGTGTTAGAGGCGCATAGTGGTTGGATGGTGTCCGGGCCGAAGTGAATAGACTCGTCAGCGACAGCAATCGCGTTATATTTATGGCCACCACAGATGACCGTGAGTTTAGTCTTTCGTGTGTTGATCTTCAGTCCGGATAGCTCCAGAGCATTAACGATGGCTGCAAACTGCATGGAGAGATGCTTCGGATTCTGGACCAGGAGGATCAGATCGTCGGCGTACACGAAACCACTGATCGGTGTAGCGTGGACCTAGTAGCCAAGTTTTGGTCGAGATAGAATCAACACCTCATTCATTGTCATTGTAGCGAAAAGGCGTCCAATAAAGCACAATCTTTATTGTCCAACTCGCTAGTTACCATGCCACACGAGCGCTAGCGATTTTGAATCACAACTCCAGTCCACAACATCCCCCGGTTTCCGCTCGCACGTCATGTGCACTTCTGCCCGTTTTATGTAAGTGATCGGCGCCTTATATCCGGGGCTTTTCCACCTGCTACTCCTCGTACCGTTGATCCGATTTCGTTGAGCAATGGCTCGTACGGTCGCTCGTGTTGTTTTTCGTCTATCCACCTTGGGCTTTGACCGTACTCCACGACCGTGTAGAGATATTCCTGCGAGTGTTGGAATACTCACGCCTCCGATTTGGTCACCCATCCTATTTTGACTGCCATGTCTCGCCCGTTGGTCCGATCCGGTCGAGCGATGACTCGTCCGGTCGCCCACGCCGTCCTCCATCCACTCGCTGTGGGTTTTTAAACGCACCTCCCCCTGCGTTGAGGTATTCCGCCGAGAGTTGGAATACTCGCACCTCCTGCCTGACAGTCCACCACGTCATGATGAATAGCAGCAGCAACAGTGGGTCACCCTGGTGAACATCACTCTGGGATTGGAAGGTGGAGCCTTCGAGCGTGGCGGGAACGTTTTGATAAGAGTCAGCAATGTAGTGTGTTAGAGATTTAGGAGCACCGAAAGCTTGAGCCCATCTGATCATCGAGTCCTGTGAGATAGAATCGAACGCCTCGGACACTTCAGTAAAGGCCGCATACAGGCTGGAAGACGCAGTGCGTGGGTTACGGAGCAGCGCATGTGGTAGTGAGATAACCTTGAGGCAACCATCACGGTGTAAGAATGCTAATTGAAGAGCTGGCAGTTGTAAGTGTGTATCCCAACGATCAGCCAATACCTCGTGAAAGCGACATACTAATGTTGAAGATACTACGATAGGTCTCAGTTCGCTGAGAAAGGAAGGGTTGTTCAATGTGATGCGTGAGCGGCAC